AGTGGTGGTGGTGGCAGGAGCCTCTCCCACCTCTGCGGCAGCACTAAGGATGTTCTAAGCTGTCAGTCAGACATCCCCTGAGGGCTGCACTGCGGGCAGACGCTCAACGCAGGACTAATGGCTGAGCTGGGCTCATGGCTGGCGAGGGCAGCAGTGGTGGTGGCAGGAGCCTCTCCCACCTCTGCGGCAGCACTAAGGATGTTCTAAGCTGTCAGTCAGACATCCCCTGAGGGCTTCTGCACTGCGAGAGGGCACAGGCCAGGCTGAGGGACCACCCCCCACCCCCAAGTGCACGAATTTTGTTTACCAGGCCTCTAGTTTAGTCCAAAAAAGCAGGTTTCTCTGTATTCTAGCTATTGTCTATGAACTGAAGTTTTTAAGGATCAGTTCAATTTGTCATTTGTTCATTATGTGCCATGTACAGGGACATAGCAGTGAATAAAAACTTTTGTAATTGATCACTCTGCTGCACGGTAGAGGAAGTACTGTATTGGGAAAGAATTAAGCAGGGAGATAAATTTGAAGATTATTTCAGTAATTATGAGAAGTGAATGTTTCTGAAACTTGCACTGACTCTGGCTACAGTCTAATTCTTTCTTTACATAAAGGTATACTATTTGCTCTTTTATTTTCACTAATTGAAAAATTGTAAAAAGTTGCCAATAAATTAACTAGAGTATAAATTTATATGAGACTGATATTTTTATGCCAGTGATTTGATATTCACACAAAGCTGGCTTTAAATAATAGACATGAGAGAATAAACACTGTTTTTAGCCCCATTCCTTATAGAGGATAAGCATAGTTTTCTTCATCCAGTTATCTATAAATTTTAATGTTACTAATATTGGCAATTAGCTTTAATGAGTACTTTCTTATACCAGACAGCACAGTTCTTTAAATATAGTATCTTATTTAAACCTCACAAAAGTTAGTGTGCTGTTACTATCACTTTTGTTTTAGAGATAAAAAAACTAGGGGTTGGGGAACCTAAATAAATTTAGTGCCTCAGGGCTCCTGTAGCTTGTCAGTAGCTCTTTAGGTACTATTTTTATGAAAATAAAAATAAGAATATTGGATTGTTCTATAGCAGTTGGTAGTTAATGGACTGGTGTGGTAATTCCTGCAGAAGTTAATTAGCATGTTGGTAATATAAATTACTTTATTATTCTCTTAACCTTCTCTAGTTCTGTTGTAATAATTTTATTGAATAGCAGGACAAAAGAGAATCATTCCTGAAAAAGAATTCTTAGAAGTCATTTGGTTTGATCTACTTTGACCTAATAAAGAAATAAACTTAGTTTAGCATTCAGCATTCATACTTGGTTTACTCCATAGTCATATTCATTATCCTTTAAGTCAGTGGTTCTCAACCTGTGGGTCGCGACCCCTTTGGCGGTCGAACGACCCTTTCACAGGGGTCGCCTAAGACCATCCTGCATGTCAGATATTTACATTACGATTCATAACAGTAGCAACATTACAGTTATGAAGTAGCAACGAAAATAATTTTATGGTTGGGTCACAACATGAGGAACTGTATTTAAAGGGCCAGAAGGTTGAGAACCACTGCTTTAAGTTTTATTACCTTATTCTGATATGCCACTTCCTTCCCCCAAAACATGAAAAATAAAATTTAGATGTGAGTTGTTTTTTAATGCTTACTCTGTTAATATTCTGGAATTCATTAGGTTGCCAACTTTTCAAACATGGATGAGGATGACATTGAGTTGGAACCTGAACGAAGTTCAAAGAATTGGGAAGAAATCATTCCAGAAGATCAAAGAAGACGATTAGAAGAGGAAGAAAGACAAAAAGAACTTGAAGAAATTTATATGCTTCCAAGAATGAGAAACTGTGCTAAGCAGGTGACTTTTTAATTTTAAAGATATTTTTATAATGAAAGAATATTCGCACCTGTATTGATCTTTTTTCTGTTAATGAGAGATATTGGTCTATAGTTTCATGTAATGTCTTCATCTGATTTGATAATGCTTGCTTCATAAACTAAGTTGAAGAGTGTTCCCTCCTCTGCTATTTTTGGAAAGAGTTGTGTAAATTGTTAATATTTCTTAATTAAATGTTTGGTAGTATTTTTCAGGGAAACTAGGCCTGGAGTTTTCTTTGTTAGAAGATTTTTTTTTTTTTTAATATATTTCATTGGTTTTTTTACAGAGAGGAAGGGAAAGGGATAGTTTGAAACATTGATGCGAGAGAAACATCAATCAGCTGCCTCCTGCACACCCCCTACTGGGGATGTGCCCGCAACCGGGGTACATGGCCTTGACTGGAATCAAACCTGGGACCCTTCAGTCTGCAGGCTGACGCTCTATCCACTGAGCCAAACCAGTTAGGGCATTTGTTAGAAGAATTTTAAACTAACTTCAGTTTCTTTTCTAAATATGAATTCAGAATATCTTTTTCTTAAGTGAATTTGGTAGTGTGTTTCTTTCAAGAGATTGGTCCATTTTATCCAATTTGTTGAATTTCTGGGCATAAAGTTATTCTTAATATCCTTTGTTATCCTAGTGTCTACAAGATATTTACTGATTCCCCTCTCTTCTTAATGCTGCTAAATTTTTTTATGATCATTCTAGTTAGAGGTTTATTTTATTTATCTTTTCAAAGGACTACCTTTTGGTATATTGATTTTCTGTTTTAAATTTTATTGATTTCTGCTCTTTATTATGTATCCTTTTTTTTTTTTTTGCTTTAATTTGCTCTTTTTTTTCTGTCTTAAGATGTAAGCTTAGACCATTGCATCAAGACTTTCCTTTCCTAAAATTAGCTTTTAATGCTACAAGTTTCCCCTAAGTACTGCTTTTCTGAATCTCTAAATTTTGATATCTGGTGTGTTTTCATTTATTCAAAATATTTTTTTTCCCTTGTGGCTTCCTCTTTAACCCATTGGTTTCTTTTTTAGACGTATGTTGTTTAATTTCTAAATATTTGGGAAATTTTCCAAGTATCTTTTGTTAATAATTTCTAGTTTAATTCTGTCATGGCCAAAGAGCATTCCCTGTATGGTTTGACGTTTTAAAAAATTGTTGATTATTTTGTGGCCTAAACGAAGAAAATAGACAGGTTTTTAGATAATGGTAACAGTGCCATACTAAACTATTTTGAATCCTGCTGCAAAAGGAAAAAACCTTAATATAGATTTTTTTGCATTAACTTTTGATTTTTAGGCTATTGCATTATAATATAGTTGTCTTTATTACTGAGTTTTTTTGGTGCCTCCTTAAGTTTTGAGGCAAATTGAGAGACTTGCCTCACCCTAGTCCTTGTCCTGCTACTCTTCTCGCAAGATAGGGTTTTTTGTTTTCTTTTCCTACAACTATATTAGGCCTTCTCCTGTGCACTCAGTTCAGTAGCTGAGATGGATCTGTATTTCCTGCCTATATTCTGAAAGGTGACTGCTCCCTTTCTTCATGGCTGCACCACAAAATCAAGTTTTCTCTAATTTCCCTCATGAGCACGAGGTGTAGGTTTGTGGAAAAGGGCTTGAGAGGGGGTACAGGTCCTCCTTTTGTCTTTGGTTCCCAGGGATTCTATGCTCTCAAGGCAGCCCACATTCAGCCTTTAGTAAATTTTTACCTTCCTCTTACCTGCCTTTATAGTACTTGATGTCTACCATTCATGTTCTTCCCAAGTGAGCCAGTATTTGAGCCCCATCTCTTCTTACAAGCTGCTATATTTCCTTATATTTGAGACTGTTAGGTTGCCTTGTGATTTTTATGTGTTTAAGAAAAGTGATGATTTTTTAAATTAGATTTTAGAGATTATGATTTCTGTTGTTATGGTAGGAGCAACCTACCAACTTTATACATCCCACGCAGATATGGAGCCAAGTAATGTGTTTGGCCTGAAAGTGACCATGTTTGTAGTTTCTTGTTTGTGTTTATTTCTTCAAACCCTATAATGGTTTCCTTTTACAGTGGATGGGAAGCATAGCATTATATTAGATCTTATGAAAGGAGGTTAGAACAGTAAAAACTAAATGCCCATTCTTAACTTTCAATAAGCTTTTAGCATATTAAAGGTATTCAAAATATATACTGAGACTTTGGAAAAATGCTCAAGACTTACCAAAAATATGCTTTGGTATATTTGTTAAAGAACTAATGGATATTTAGCTATTTTTATGTGGGTTCAACTGGCATTTTTTTTCTTTTAAGTATCTGATCAACCTAATTAGAATACTAATAAGTGGATACTTAGGAGAACAGATAAAAATGACACATAATCTGTCCACCCAGAGGTAATCACTAATAATATAATATTATGGTATACATAATTCTAATATTTTTTATATATATCTGCCAAATTTAATTGGAGTATTAATTTGGAAGTTGCTTTCTTTCCTTTGACAGTATATAATGAATCTTATTCTACAACACAATTTTGTTTTTAATCCTCACTTGAGAATATGTTTTTATTGATTTGAGAGAGAGAGAGGGAGAAACATGATGTGAGAGAGAAACATCAATCAGTTGCCTCCTGTATGTGCCCCGACTGGGGACTGAAACCATAACCTTTTGGGGCACAGGATGGTGCTCTAGCTAACTGAGCCACCCAGCCAGAGCTATAACACAATTTTTGATGGCTTTCCTAAACTTGTATAGGTTACTTGTCCAGTCTCTTTGATGAACATTTAGATTGTTTGCTATTAAAAAAAGAAATCTATGCTGTAGATGACTTTATTGGCCAATGTTTCCTCACATTTCTGATCTCAGGAAATATGCCGGGGAATGATGTTGCTGGGTCAGCAGAATGATAATTTTCAAGGCTTGTAATACAATATTGCTAAATTGCCTTCTGTCCCAGTTTAAATACCCAGAAGAAGTATATTACTGTTCATTTTTCTGTCCCATTATACTAATATTAGCTATTATTGCTTAGTTGGTATTGGTCAAATTGATGGATTGATAAAAGAATTCCATTTTATTGTTAATTCTCATTTTTAAAAAGTGTTACCAATGAGTTTGTATGATTTTATGCTTATATTATTTGATTAATTGCTTGGTAATAACTTTTCTCATTTTTACAAAAGGACAGTGGGTGTTTTCCTTTAGATTTATCAGAATGCGTTACATATTAAAGTTATTAATAACTGTCATTAACATGCTGTATTTTTCTGTTTGCTTTTTAAAAGTTTTTTTATAGAATATTTTTGATTTATAGAAAAACATTTGAAGTTACAAA